AAAACCACGTTGAAGCTCTGTGAACACACTTAGAGTATGGACAAGACAACCAATTGCTGTAAATAATTCCACGCAAAATTCAATGGCAATTTTTATAAAACACATCCATCTTTGTGTGTATTTGTGAATAGTGAATATCTTAAATGAAATTCAGATTTTTTGGTGTTGATAAAAAAAAAGTTTATTGAAAAGAAATTTAAATTTTATAATAAAAATTAGCAAATTCTTCTGGTACGCAATTCGAGTACCGTGAATTTGGACCCTCTTTTTGTACAGTGCCCAATTCGTGTTAAAATAGATTGGACACAGGTATAGGCCCCCCTCTATTTACTGGCGTTTTGCCAAAACAGAAAGCAATTGAACCATTGTGCTTTTCTGTCGATATAGGGCGAGGCCCTCGATTTAGATTATTATTAAGTTTTCTTTACAACACTGATTCGTTTTGTAGTTTTAAAGTTAGAGATGTATTGATCTAAATAGCTGGTTTTAAAAAATTCTTGGGAAACCTTTTTGAACCTGAAGTTCAACCATGTCCCTAGCATCAATTTTTGAAGTCTAGTTAGTCATCAGAGCCCAAAGTGAACACTTCATAAGGCTTAGACGGTCTTGCCAGTTGAAATATTTGCATAAATTGGGAGGGTACGGTATCAACAGATCGCCGGCTGTATCAATGGCGTATGAACTGGACTGTGAGCAGAGTCTCCTTCACTCTGCCCATGGTTACTCGTGAAAAATCACAGCCATTACAGGCAAAACAGTAACAATCTCAGGATACAGTGTCATAGAACGTGAGGTTATGACCCGCAAATCACCTCTTACACAACTGCGCCATCGTTTGAGATGGATACCTAAGCGATTTTATATGTACATCATACGAATCTTCCATTTTCAGTTTTGTATCAGCAGACGGTAGCAAAGCCTTTAGATTAAGTTTTGCATGTAATAGGTACCACAAATCAGGTATTTTTTGGGTCTAGGAAAATATAGCCATACCCCGAAGCGACGCCCGATCAGATTCAACTCGCCAAAATTGAGATAGGCTTCCAAAAGTAACAGCTGACTAACATACCTACCTATATTGCAATGACTAGGAGTATCTCTAGATAGGCCTGCATATTCATTTTAAAATGTGGGTGTTCAGCAACCAGGTGTTCAGAGCCTATCTCGAGAAACTAGTATACGTTTCAAAATTTTACTATGATTATTTCATTGATTATAAAATAGACCCATTAGAAAACGTAATTTTTTGTATGAATTTTGTTTAAATAAGTGATTATTTCACAAGACCTTGTTTATCAGCGATTAAATTTTTGTTTACCTTTTTTGACAGAATTTTGATAGAAATATTCTGACATTTTATAATAAATAGAACTCTTTGGATAGGATTGATGCCAACAATTCAATCCTAATTATTCAGGAAATAATCTAGCCGTATACCACTCGACCTATAAATTTAAATGGATTAAACTATCCAAATATTTTTTGCACAATTTTGCTTTTTGGCAAATAGTTTCATGCACAATAACTTTTAAATAAAAGCCCTCGACCGCTTCGCGGTCTCGGGTTTTTATTAAGTTATTGTGCATTCAACTATTTTCCAAGCAAAATCATGCTCAAAATATGTTGGATAGTTTAATCGATTAAATTTAAAGCTCTTGTGATATAATATATGAATATTTGAAAACACCTGAATTTGAATAATCTCTAATAAAAAAGGTATTATTTGAGATACGCCATTTGGTCACAACACGGAAGATATAGAATAACGTTCAACGGTGTAATAATTTTAATTTCGGCCTATTTCGAGATACGCCTTTACGTTTTGATACCTAGGAAATGAGCACAAAACAGGAACAGTTGACCACAATTGAGAGAGTACAAAACCGAATGTGGGGGCAGCTTGACTGAGCCAGTCTATACGTAGCATTAATATTAATCCGATTTTTGTTTTACTTTCCTTTTCATTTTCAACTGCATTTTCAACAGACCCCGGGAGCATGTAGACATTCCACTATGGGATTCGACACCCGTCTCTAAGGCGATTGGCTGATTTAAATTATATTTTGATATGATGCCGAAACACATAGTGGAATGTGTGAGCAGTGCTCAAATCATAAGTGGAATGTTCATACTCATTAGGCATAAGTGCAACTACAGAAGTGCTGAATCACGTAGTAGAATGATGTCAGGACGGTGCCCAAAACGAGAGTGCAATACGGTAGAAGTTCTTCATATAGGTAACTTTTTTTTTTTGAGGTAATTCAATTAAAAACAACTAATTAGGTATATGGTACTATTGTAGTTTATTTCAGGTACCTGCACGTAGGTACCGTAATATATGCATCTTTTTTTTCTCGAGTATCCTTTGTATCTTTTTTATTGTTATGGTTAGTTCTGCAATGCGCTCATATTTTTGGAACTCCCTTTTTGTTTTGTTCACTTTTTTTTTTTGATTTTTTTTTTTTTTACGGATATGCGCACTCGCAAGGAAATGTCCTATCACGCTCGAGAAGCGGCAAGTGCGCGGAAATGTCGGTGTATGTTGGTCTTGAAACGGTTCAGGTTGTAAGCTGCAGGGAAAACCGTCGCAGGGAGTTTATTCCACAGCGATGCTGTTCTCCAGAGATATGAATTCTGATATAATGAGGTTCTTGGTGCCTCTAGTTTGACAGTAAATTCATGGTTACCGTCTGTTTGACGGGTTCGCCTGGTAGGCGCTACTCTCGGTGGAATCATACGTGCCAACTAACCCAAACACTTTTAGCTCTCTGGAAGCCACCATGTTGACACAAAAATGTATCCCTGAAAAACACATCATTTTGACCAATAAATCGGAGAGGAAGATCTCTCAATGCATAGATAACTATTCTTATTATCACTCGATGAAACCAACAAAGTTCTAGTTTGTTTCTCGTAAATTCGTAGCCATTAAATTACATCGTCCGCACTTTTGAATCTTCCTCGATGAAGCAAATTATTTATTTTAATTAACTTTTCCATTTTATTATGGCTATTATTGAGTAGAACGCAACAAAATTGCACAATCCGATAAACAAATTAACAAAACATAACCTCCAACTAATTCTACATTCTACTTCTCGATTCAGCACTGTTCGCACAACCCACATAACAGTGAAGGAACATTTATATTCTCACAATATTCCCTCAAAGTGCTTTTTGGAATATTCTTTCAGGAATGTTTAATGAATATTCTAAGATTGTTTCGATTGAAATATTAATTTTTGAACGTTCTATTTATATGTACTAGGAATGTTGCTTCTATGCACCTACCTGAAAGATTGTGCTAAGAACCTACTTTATATAACATTATTTGAATATTTTTATACGAACATTATTATAATGTACCCTAAAAAATGTTCTTTCGGCTTATATCTCTATCAAGTATTAAGAATATACCTACGAAGTTGTGCTGAGAAATTTATGTAGGTAGGTAACCATGATAAGAATGTTTTCATATTGTTCACCTAATTATCTAAAGTACCTACTCAAAAATCTTAATTGAACAATTAAACAATAATGCTCTATCAAGAACATACTAAGAATATTATAGGTATATTCTTTTTCTTTTGCTTTGTAGGACTTCCAAGAGAGGGAGCCACGCGCTATTTAAAATCTACATCTTGCCTAGCGTTTGAATCACCTTGGAACCTGTTTCTCTCAGTTGGCGTGCTTACCGCGACAAGAGCATAACAAGCTCGAAACCGGAGCTTTGGTTAAACACTTGTGTTGTCCAGAGAAGTTTTCCAACAACTCTTTCACTGCCTTTATTATAAAAGGTCTGAAAGGAGCATTATTTGGAAGCGAAAATTAACATTCCAAGTATATCCTTAAAATCAAACAAGAATGTTATGTCTAGGATGCATATTGAGAATGATGTATTCTAAGAATATTTCAAGCATATTGGTATAATATTCTTTTGAGAACATAACTATAATGTCATAGAAACATTCTTTGAATGTGAGAATATACATTTCGAGCATATTTTTAGAATCAAACAGGAATATTCTTTTCAGGATGTACTGAGAATCTCGTAAGTATATTCTAGGAATATCCTAATGAATTTCCCAGAAAGTTCTTGGGAATTGCGAATAGTATTTCTACGATCTTTTCTCAGAACATTCTCAGGATATTCGCAATGGTTTTGGCGAACATTCTAGGCACATTCGTCCTAAAAAAAGAACATTCTTATTACATTCTAAGGATGCAATTTTGTTATGTGGGAATCCACTAACTCATTGAGCACCACGTATTGGCATATAGTATTGGCGGCAGCTTGTAATAAATCAACTGAAGCATATGACATTGCACTCTCGTTTTGGACACCGTTCTAACAATCTACTACGTAATTCCGCACCTTCAATAGTTGCACTCAAAATTGACCAATCATAATTGAGGCAGGTGCCGAAATCTATAGTGGAATGGCTAAATGCACCCCGGGAAAAGGAGCGTATAAATTTGGCGGACCTGATATTGCCTGATTTCTTTTCAATACTCATTCTTCAGCATCATCAATGGGAGTCTGGATCAGCAGAGGGGACGTCACGCCAGTACCTATTCAATTCTTCTGGGAATGAGCGCGAAGAGCCTCAGTTTATGAGTGGAAAACTATTCAACAATGCAACAATGAAATTACTTCAAGAACTCCAGATTGGTAAAAGATACCAATGAGTACTATTAGCGACATCAAAAGGAATGATAAATACATAGTCATTTTCACTATGCCTACAATTCATTTTTATTCTGTAACTTTTATTTTCAATCACATCAATTTAGAATATCTTGTTTCATTGGAGAAAAATCCATTTTCATTAGTTTTGCAAATCATATATTATAAATACAGATACGGTGACTAAAAAAGTCAATTTAGAGAGGTTACACTACAAAGTGCTTAATTAGGTCCAACCCACGAGTTTGAAATGTTGGGTGCTGCGACGTTGTGACGCCAAAATCAGGTGCATGAGAAACATATATTATAATGGGTTGAGTTATAAATAGTCTAAATATGATTGAACCATCTAAGATTGAACCTACCCTAGAATATAAAAAGAAACGAGCAAGACTAAGCGACAGAGATTAATCATGAACGTGTTCTATTTTCCCAAATATCAGCTAAAAGTTATATTTTGAATTGAACATGTACAGTGGGAATCATTGCAATTGGCACATACTATACACTTTTAACATCCGTCGTATTGAGTCGAGGGCAGTGGTGTACAGATATTTTGTTTCCCTTTAACAATTTATTAAAACTATCAAGTTCACCACTGATCTATCAATCTGACACCATTTTGACATTATCTGTGTGTCAAAGTAGTAAAATTCTGACACATTACGAGGGATGTTTATATAGTGTGTGCCAATCGCAACGATTCTCATTGTATGTATCTGATCCCTGTTACGATCTATTGATACGATAATAATTTAATAGCAATATGTTAATATAATGAGTATATATTTCTTTTAAAAAATTGTACAAATCCTAATGTAAAATTTGTAATTCGTTATAAAATAATTATATACCTATGTATTATCTACGTTAATACGATCACAAAACATAAGATTGATTAATGAGTATATATGGTATACCTACCTATTCCAAGGAATTTGTAACTCAATAGGAAATATTTTTCATCCATTGGCTCAGAGGGCACGTACCTAACTTAGCAGGTTGCAGCGAGACTATCAGCAGAGACTTACTAATCTCAAAGCAAATAGTCTAGTAATACCATTAAATTAACTTTGTTATATTATAAATACAAGCTGTTTCTGAATAGTGGGATCCAACTTTAAGGATAAATAGTACCTACTCATTAAAATAAAAAAAAGTTAATAGATAGGTAATTGGTCCGCAAATGCTTAGTTGTCGAGAATCGGGGTGTCAAAGTTTGAAAAACAAAATCGTTTTTAGCTCAAAAATGCCTTTCCCTATTTTCATTAAACTTGGCAGGTGTGTTGATAATAACAAAAGGTATATTTTAACTCCAATTAGATTTACCGTATTTATTCCAGTGTTGCCCCATAGTAAAATAAGAAAAAAAAAATGCACGTCACGGTGAAAGGGATTTTTGAGCTAAAAGCCCGAGTTGTTTTTTTTCAAACTTTACAACCTGTATCTGCATTTGCGGACCCAGGTTTGTATTAACTTCTTTTCAAATTTTAATAAGTACTATTCATCCTAGAAGTTTGATCCCACTATGCAGAAACATCCTTTATGGTAATGTTAGATTGCAGGATAATAAACACTAATACCATTGCTAGTAGAGGAAACTTGAGCACCCTTCTATATGGATAACTTTAATTTGTAAGTAAGCGTAGTATTAAAATGATAGCACCTCACCATAGTCCCAGAGTAGCAATAACCAAAAAGCGGCGTTATTTTTTGCCAGTTTGAAACCTACCCTACCGTCCTGAGTTTTATCAATCTTGAATAACTTGGAATAACGTATACATATAGATTGCCCGAGACTTAACAAGAGTATACATAACGAAAACTAATCAACTGAAGAGGAGTACATTTCTCTATTTGTATAGTTAAACCTATACAACATATAACTAAAATTAAGTAAAATCCAAGTGCCATGTAAACTAGTATTTTCCTGATTTTATTTGGCTTTTTGCACTTGAATATAACCAAACCTGAAAAAAATTGATTATTGGAGATATAAATTTATGACTAGAATAAAAATAAATTAATAATCACCTAAAAATAGTCCTGTCAGTCCTCCGAAAAAATGTGCTTGCCATGAAACCTGAGGTGCCTTTTTTGAAGACACATGAATTATGTTGTATGATATATCGGAAAGTACTATGATGCTAATTGATACGGTACGATAAATTTTATAGCTGATTGTATTGAAATTCTGAAATGTGTATATTCATATTAAGAAAATTTACCAATTTCTGGAACTTTGTCAAACGTACCAGAATTAGAACTGCCACGTTGGCTAGTAGTAACGAGTAGCCACCGCCGGATGCACCTACTACCACAGCAGGGTGAAGGCATGCAGCTCCCAGGACTCCTGTCATTCCTCCTAGAGCGTATATAAAAAGTACCCGAATTCGACCCTAAAATTATTTAAAAAAAATAAGCATTAAATTTCATCAAATACAAATATTTAGACATTTGCAAGTGCACAAAGTGCGCAATTTATTATTGCCATAAAAGCAACGGCTAACTGAAAATACAGGGTGTTCATTTTGAAAGCTACCACCCTTACTATCTCGGAGTTGGAAATTTTCGAAAAAAATCCCTGAAACACGTCAATTATAATTTAAAGGGGATAAGTTTTTATTCAACATTCACGTCCCACCTTTCAACCCCCCCAGTCTCCAGAGCCACCTCCTAGAAAATCTTAAATGGGAAGGGCGGTCCAGTGATGCATCATTTTGGAGGGTTTTCAATTCCATACATTTTGGTACTAAATTTTAATCCCTAAGTTCAACTGTTTTGGAAATATTGACAGTTGAAAATTGACTTTTTTGCAACTTTGTCAGGCTGTAAAACCTAATCCGATCTTATATTCTTATCTTAGATTTTCATCATTTGACAGACAGCAACTTTGAATTTAATCCATGATAAAAAATTCCGGTTAAATTTAAAGTTGGTGTCAAATGATGGTTTATGATGAAAATCGAAGACAAGAATGTAAGATCGGTTTTCCTCGAAAATTAACCGTTTAGGTTTTACAGCCTGTCAAAGTGGCCAAAAAGTCAATTTTCAACTGTCAATATTTCCAAAACAGTTGAACTTAGGGATTAAAATTTAGTACCAAAATGTATGGAATTGAAAACCCTCCAAAATGATGTGTCACTTGACCCCCCTTCCCATTTAAGATTTTCTAGGGGGTGGCTCTGGGGGCTGGGGGGTTCAATGGGGGAGGTGAATTTTGCATAAAAACTCATCCCTTCCTCAAATTATAATTGACGTGGATTGGAATCCAGTTGTGTCATATTGTCACATAGGAAGGCTGCTTACTGCCTAGGAGACAGCCTGCTGGAAGATAGGGTGGCTCTATACTATATTACATGGGCCTATCCCTTACCAAACGGACACTAAGGCGGCGTTCCCTATCTTAACCAGTTACCGAATGGTTACCGATCGGTAATAAGCGGTAAGTCTGGTACCTGAAAATGCGGTTTATGCGTGGAACGCTTCGGTTCAGATTTGGTTTGGCTTGGATGCTAGATGATAGATTATCCTCTTAAAAATATATTTGTAATAAGCAATTGTCAGGAGTGAATGTAGTATTCACCACTTGTGTCATTTTCACCGCAAATACATTTTCAAAGCGGAAGAAAAATAAAAAAATAAAAATATTATCACCTAACCTAACAAACAAATGTCAGAAATTGAAAACAAACCGAAAAAACCAAGCTTTTTGATCGGTAGATTCGGTTGACAGTTGTGACCGAATTTTTCAGGAACCGCGTTTCATAACCTAACCAGATTTCAGGAGTGGTTAGGTTACGGAACGGGAACCGGAAAAACCAAGAATCTTGGTTAACTTACGGAACGTCGTCGCCTGAGAGACGCTACATGGTTCGTAGGGTGTCATCGCAGGTGCGTATGAAGGCCGTAAAGATCCGCGAGAGTAAAACCTCTGGGCTCCCTGGGCTCCGGTATTCCTATGGAGTTCGTAACGGCGTTAGCTCTCCGGGACAATCCACTGCCTGGGCTCTGGTATTCCCGAGGAGTTATTGATTCCAACGGATGCCGATGCTATGGTTGCCTCGGCCTTTCATATCGAGTTAGCGTAAACATTACGTGCCGCTTAATTATAACTTGACCTACCATACTGCTAAAACTGATTATGCAACATGTTCTTATCCTTATCATTATTATCCATAGCTACTTTGATAGCTATTCTGTATTCTACCCATAACTTCTTTATTATTGAACGCATATCCATTCAGCGGTAGCTAGTCGCTGTTGTAAACCAGCTCTAATCGGACGTTGTCATTCATTTCTTCGATTTCGTTTGTTCTGTCTTCGGTAGGTGGTCCAGGTTTCACGGCATTGTGGCCTAAGAGCTTAACTTAAGTGAGCGTATCAGGGCTGTCAAATACCTTTTTTAGAAACATCCAGATGCTGAGTTCGGTGTTGAATTGTTTCTTCGTCAATATTTGCATTTGTCGAAAGATGACTATCGAGTGTGGAGAGGTACTTCATTAATAATTACATCTGGACCTGATTCATTTATTGGGTGCTTGCCTAAATGCATTGAGGGTAGTTTCAAGGCTATAAACCATACTTTTTTAATTAAATTATAATGATTCAATAAAACTCCATATCATAAAGAACCAATAATCACCTGTGTTTGCCAGGACAGCGTTTTCATCAGCATATTGAAGTTCACAACCAGTGTTGTGGACACCTTGGTCTTGGCTCGAAGTCTGCTGACCTTGACTAGCATACAATCAGTACAATTGGAGATTCCAACACTCAATTTTTCGACAAGGCAAAGTACGGTTCCAACAAATATAGAAAAATAACTTACTTCGGTTTTGATTTTAAAGGCTTCAAGGTGTCTGTTGTTGGTAAGGACAGTGGCGCTCATGTACTTGTCTTGCAGTAAACAAAGTACGTTGATAAATGTGGACGAACAGAGCTATACGACTACCAGAGTCGAATGCTATGACAAGGTCTATTAATGCTATACCGGGTGCCCACGAGATTACTTTCCGGCTGCCATTTTTTTATTTGTTTATCGATATCAACGAAACTTGGTAGGTTTGATATTCTAACGAAACGCCATTTTTAGGCATTTATGTCAAGTATTCCTGACTTCCGTTTTCACCGGAAATGACCGAAACTTTTTATTTTCAAATGGCACACCCTGTATATTTTTTGTTTTTTGGATTATACAGATCGTTTTACGTCCCAATGTACCACTTTTAAATCGAGTTTTGTCCAAATTTCGTTTTGAAATTAAATTTTAAGTAGAAAAAAAAGATTTCCTACAAAATAAAACAAAAATATTTGAACGAAAATTAACAAAAATGTCGTAGTGTATTATATCGTTGGATTCGCTTTGAAATACTGCATTTAGTAATGTTATATGTTATGAAAGTGATATGTTTCTATTCTAGTTTTTGAGCTAGGGCAAAAAAACTTAAATAATGAAGTTTACAGCCCTCTATCAAAAAAGTTTACAAAGATAAAATTGAGTTTCTATTTTTCTGAAATTAAGTAAAGTATGTAGAGTCATTTTAGGATGATCATGGCACTCTAGTTAAAAGAATAAAATTTAATTTAAAAACAAAATTTGGACAAAACTCGATTCAAAAGTGGTGCATCAGGACGTAAAACGATCTGTAAAAGCTGAAAAACAAAAAATATACAGGGTGTGCCATTTAAATATCAAAAATTCCGGTCATTTCCGGTGAAACCGGAAGTCGGGAAAACTTGTCGTAAATGCATAAAAATGGCGTTTGGTTAGAATATCAACCCTACCAAGTTTCGTTGATATTGAGAATCGAATAAAAAAATAGCAGCCGGAAAGTGATCTCGTGGGCACCCGGTATACAGGAGTTTGTTTTGCTCCTTCAATTTTTTTTTGAATTCAACTTTTCTGGAGATCCTGTCTACCATAACTTGATATACTATGTTTCGGGTAGCGTTGGTTTAGCCAAATGAAGAAATCGGTTGGAGAGAATCCTGTTAAGATTTCTTCTGGCTTTCGAAAACAGTGATGATCCTCGGTAAAACTATGTCTTCTCTACTTGCCTGAGAGTGACAAAAGAGGTGTCATTCAGCTCTGTGGGAATCATCTCAGCGTTCCATATTTTGGCACTGAATCAATGTGCTTGTGATAACCACCGCAGTGTTGCTGACTTGAAAAACCTCAGCATCAACTTCATCTAACCCAGCACCTTCGTTTGTCTTCGGTTGATTTACAGCTCTTCCACCGTCTTGATGAAAACCAACGTCATTCAGAAGGTTTTGAGTGGGGTTTTGAGGGACTCTAAAGACGTCATCATCCACCTGGAACTCTTTGTTCAGGAGTTCCTGAAAATGCTTCCTTCATCGAGAGCAAAATAGAAGCTACGTCTTCGAGAAGCTGAGTTCAATCTCTCGATCTTAGGGGATTTGATCTTTTTTTTTAGGAGGAATGTAGGTTGCTTTTGTGGCGTGAAAAGGGCACTGGTCTGGTTAGCGAATGCTTATTGGTCCAATTCGATTGACTTCGTTATCTACGATTCGTTTTTCAGCAATCTTGTTCTTCTCCGTACTCCAGCCTTAGCTTGAAGATTGGTTGTTTTTTGTGAGCTAAATTTGAGAAGGTTTTTTGCCAGACATTGTAGGATTTCTTCTTCTGATATATGAGGTTTCGATTTTTTTTATTTTCCTCATCGAATCAATCCTGATGTTCCCTTGGGATACAGCCCGTTGATTCTTGGGAGACTGGCTGTAGATAGCTATTTCAAGCAATGGCCATAGCTGTTCAATATCGTCGGGATATTCAGGAGATATTTCCACCTTCTAGGCTTCAGAGACATTTCAGTCAGTAGGTTATATATTTTATTTTTGGGAGCTTTTCGTATTTTAACTAGTGATGTATCTTTTGGAAGCGGTACTGGAGTCAGAGAGTGTTCAGGCTGCCTACGTATATGGTATCTTTTCTTGCCCCCTTCTTGCGGGAAGTGGGCAGAGTTGCTCCTAAACAACGCTCAGTCAAAGATGCAGCACACGAGTTGAATCCCACTGCAAATTGCCGATCGCAGCAGTGTGTATTTTAGTCCGGCAGCAGACCCTGATTTTTTCCTGAAGTGACAATTGTGGGATCAAGTTTTTTTTTTGACGGATTCTTGGCTGATGACAAGCTGTCATTCTTGGGGAAATCCAGATATACAGGATGTTCCAAAATATAAGACATAAAAATATATTCGGTAGTTTTTTTAGCCTTAGGCCTTAATTGTTGACTGCGCTGATTAATTTATTGGTTGTAGAGGTACTATATGCTTACATGCCATAACAATAATTATTATCTACGATATACAGGGTGTTTTAAAAAAATATATAAAACTCATAAATTTTCCTATTGATGTTTTTTTTTTTTTGTTTT